TTACCCTCTGATTTAAGGTGTTTAGCACATCAATTAAAGGGCCATAACTCTGCTTTTGAGAATCATCAATTTCAATGAAACTTCACCGGCCACTTTGTAGATACAAAAGACTCCAGCATGTCAAATTTCAGCAAAATCAGACAAGGTTTGTGTCCTTATTAGGTTACAGACTACTAATTTTACCCCTATTTCATTGACCACTCAAGTAGTTCCAGTTTAAAAATAGAGGTTTTTTCTTTAAAAATTCTATGGGGTGTTTATGGGGTGGACTGATGTTATTTTTGGGTATAGATGGAAAGAAAGAGAGGGTTTGAAAAAAATATAAAATTGTTAATATGTGAAATTTTGCACTTAAGCGCGTAGTAGTAAGGGTGTAAAGAGGCCCATATTTACCCTTTTCCCCGAAGAGAAAGTGAAAAAAGCAGGGTAGGGGTTATTTGCGATGCCTTAGCAGGAACTGCATGCGATGAATTTTCCTGAGAGTCTGAAAATTTTGGACTTGAATTCTTCTTACTCTGTGCCAAGTTTCAGGTAAGTTGAGCTGGTGTAATTTTTTTAATCATTTTTTATAGTATAAAGGAATGTATAGCAAAATAATTGGTAGTCTGTGTCCTATGAGTCAGCTGCGCAAAAGGGAGATCACTCTCAAGTCCAAAAACGGAATACCGATTCCGATCAAAATAAACTTGATAAACGTACTCATTTTTCAAATCATTCAAACTAATGAGAAAAAAGAATCTTTGACTATCCAATAACCACCGATTTTTAAATGTAAAATGTAATATTCAAGCTTTTTCCCTTTTTAATGTGATATTTTCAGGCTTAATTCCACAGACCCCCCCTCCTTAAAAAACTACAATATTGCAGCTACAATTTTGGGAGTTTTAACATTTCATATCCCTTCTATCTTACATGCAATTATCCATTCAACCACAAAACAAGATAAAAATAAAAATAGAATAAATAAATGAGTAAATAAATAGAATTTATTTATAATAATGTCGAATTCTATGAAAATCTATACATTTCTCTAAAGTATTTAGTTTTTCATGCGTTTTAGTTTTAACCCAAAGAACCCGATTTCGTCAGATCAATATATCTTTAAAAAAGAAAGGTTGTTTGCCATCATTCAAAAGTATAAAATTATCAAGGTCTTAATTGTTTAACGTAGGGTTTACCACAACACACCTCCCCATCCAAAGAATGAACTTACGGCTATAGGAAATCTCAGTAAGGAACTTTTATTTGAAGTCACAATTGATTTGTCACTTGCCAGTGTTATCTCTCTCTCTCTCTCTGAAATTTGAAAGCGATGGTTTTTACAGCAGAAGGATCTGTGACGCGCAGTATTAATTAAAAACATGCATATGAAAAATAACACCTGATTACTCATTTGCAAGAAATTAAAACCCCGGAGAATTCTTTTCGTAGAAAGTTCAATGTTGTTTTTATACAAATTGTCGAAGATTTCAAACGGAGCATAATAACCAATGGCTACAGAACTGTAGCTCTCCGAAAAAAAAAATTTAAGACCGGTCTGTCAATATTTTTTCCCCGGAGAGCTACAGTTCTGCAGCTACCCCCAAAAAAAAAAGATTCCGAAACAGAAGGGGTGTGTATCTGGCAAATTATAAACATAAATATCTTTATACTAAAAACATTGCAAATAAATAACCTGTCCTCCGCTGAGAATAAAACCAAGAGACCCAAAGGCCTATAATCGCTCTCCTGATAATTTTGTACAATTTTAAATCTATTTGAAGCCTCCTATTTTTTCTACATTTTTGAAGAAAGCCTTAGAATTTCAGTTGACACACTCCGAGGACACAATTGATGAAGTAAGAGGATTCTAAATTAATTAGTATCTAAAATATTTAAATTATAAGCCATAAGATTCCAAAAGTTGGTCTCTCTGACCTACTTTTTAGTTGACACAATTTGAGATTCATCAGCTGACAAAGTTTGATGATTTTGTGCCAATTATAGGGTTATTTAAAAATTACCACATATTCCAAAAATACCAAATACCAAAAAATAGATCACTATGACCCTTTTATTATGGCATAAATGACGAAGTTTATTATCGTCTAGGTTTCAAAGTGCCCAAAATACTACTCTAAAACAATTTGAAAATGAATGGCTACAGAATTCAAAAAGTAGGTCACAATGACTTACTTTTTGTTAAATATTTTAAGGCACCAAGATGAATCAACTCACAGGGTTTGACGATTCTAAACTTTTCATTATCTAAAAATGACATTGACGTTTGAAAATGAATAGACACAGTGACCTACTTTTTGGTTGACACACTTCAAGGCCTTATGATGCGTATTTATGATCATAGACTTCAAAGTGTCGAAGATACATGTATGCATGAAGTATGAGCCATGCAAAATTAAAAATTTTGTTAATGATCCTATAGTAAGCAAATGATTAAAGTTTTAACACAACATGATTGTTGGGCAACTTTGAAATGACCTTGAGACCATGCCCTTTGCCACAGGACAATGCCTTGAAAAATGTCAACTACAACATATCCGTATTTATGTAAGTTTGGTGATAATCTGCCCAATATTTAAGAAGATGACTTTTTAGCAACCACTACTTTTGTTTCTATTTCCCTAATCATTTCCCCTTGTTTTAGGGTCACATTCCTAGTTTTAGCAAAAAATGGATTCTCTACAAGACAAAAATTGACATAGGGGTTCTTGAGATATGGCCAATATTTCAAAATTTTGACTCACACCACACAAATGGCTTTAACATTAGCTTTTGGCCCAGATAAGCTAAAAATAAATAATTATTTTTGTCTGATGATTTTGCAAACAAATTTTGACTAAAAAGAATTGTCATGTCCCCTTTCAGAATTAATTAAATGTTTGTCCCTTTAAATACACAGTTTTTAAAAGAAAATCAAAATCAGAAAGTTGCTTTTAAAATTCATGTCCACAAGTAACATTTTCATTAGTGGAGTTAAAAGGAGTAGAACAAAGCTAGAAGATGAGGGCAATCCAGATAGACCTATGGCCATACATATATGCTAAATATGACTCAGAAAGTATCATCTGGGAGAATCCTTGGACAGTCATCAGCTGGAAGGGCATTGACATGATATTTCAAAATAATGAAAGTATTTTTTATAGAATTTTCCCTCAGTCTGTACAAGAGTTGTCCTTCTGGGACTGATTGATACCCCAGCCTCCCTCCTCCAAGGGGACACACACACACACATACAAAAATATAGACATCTCTTTAGCTATCCCCCAAAAAAACTATGCTTGGGACATCATTTTCCATTCTGATTGTTAGGGAGTGGTGTAAAAGTGAACATCTGGAATTACTCCAGGCATTGGAACATTGATTACAGAAGTTTGTATGTAATCCTAAAAGATTATTGAGGAAAAGATAAAATCCAAATATATGGCTAAAGCCAGTTATATTTGTACCACCCCATATAAAAAAAAATAATCCAGTCTGTGTGTATTACTAGTAATCAATTATGTTTATTTGTTTTTAACACAACCAATAAACATTTTCTTTGATCAGAATGCCTGGATCAACAAAATTGCTGATATAGTTATAATTCATTGATATTTAAATTGAAAAAGTTTTTTGACTTTGACAATGTTAAATTAATTCCATAAAATAAGGCTCAAGTTACACATTTTCATATGAATAACTGATAGCTGAAGTACAATAAATTTATAAAAATGCTCTTATTAAGTTCATGCTTGTCGATTGGATAAAATTAAATTTATTTAAACTTGATTTTTTTTTTTTCCCAAAACCAGCAAGATCAACTTACAAAACATTTTACACATAATTTGTAATAATGTGTTATAACTTTAAAATATGAATGCCCACAATGCACAAGTATTTGCTTAAATTTCATTGTTATCTTTTACAATCAAAAAATGGTGCTTTTGAAATAAAAAAAATTCTGAGAAAGAAGATGTAGAGAAACTGTCACTGGGTGAAATAAAAAAAAGCTTTTACAAAATTGTATATGTACAGTACAGTATTTGTAATGAAAACCACTACACAACTAATTTATTTTTTAGAAAAAATACGTGCAATTTTTTTTTTCAAATTTGTTTATGAAGCACCAAAAAGGCAGCAAAACACTAACAGGAAGCACCATAAAATTTCTGTAGCCATAGCACACTACAGAACATAACGTCCTTCAGCTGATTATAAATATCAGCTTCTTACAGTGAGACGTCATTATATGACCTCACGGGGGAACTAAATAAGTACACATGCTTCAGATATGGGGAATCGACTGTTAACTAGAGATGGCACTGTGACTATAGACTCCTCCCACTGTTTGGTGACCAGTAGCACCACTTCTTGGATTTCCTCTACAATACTGAATGGACAAGTCTCCTATCCTTGACCACCTTCCATTGACATTGCTATAGCCTGTTTTAACATTTCCTCCTCTGGCATTTCCTCTGAAAAGAATACAAATTTTGGGTTTTAATTTTTTTTATTTTAACATCAAATGTGAAACTATAATTCCATAATTTGAATTCTAAATAGTAAAATACTGTCAAATCTACTTTGTAATATATTGTATTTTGCACTATCCTGTCTCAGAAAATTGTAAACTCTTCATTTTCTTGACTTTTTTAGTCTTTTTGTGTATACGGATAGAGTCACTTGGAAAAAAAAAATTCAAGAAAATGTGAATTTAGATACGGTGAATTAGTCGGAACATCTTACGGTTAACCGATTAGCAATTCTGTATTCAATTGCCATCCATTAAAATTAACCATGTAATTTTCTTTTCATTTTCTTGTTTCCTTCTTATTTATTTATTTTCATTGAAAACTTCACCCTAGCAAAGTTTACAGTGGGTAGACAGCATTCATGTACCTTCTTCCACTGCCAATTTTTCCTCTGTTAAATCACCTTTTTCTACAGGCTGGGGTTGCTCTGTTACAGAAGTCTGATTTGGATTTTCTTGAACCGTGCTGACTGTCTCTTTCGGATCTTCAGTTATTTGTTCAGTATTGGCTGTCTGATCTAATCGTTGTAGAAATGCTAGTCTTTTCTGTCTCACCTCCTCTTGTGATGGAGGTTTGACATCTTTGGACACAGTTACTAACTTTTCTTCACTTGGTCCTGGAGTATTGTCATCTTCTATTATATAGCCTAATAAAGTGTGCAAGAATGATATTTAAGCCTCTATGAATTAAAGCACTACAACACCTGATATAAATGCCCATACACTGAGTACATAAACATAAATATTACAAAAATGCTCATAGAAGCCTCTAGCTTGTTTTTTTTTCATTTATAAATTATCATGACTCAGTAATCTTTATGACTGGTTAGTGGTATTCCCCTACAGTGATTTGATTTTCTGTGTACCTGTGTTTTTTCAAATCAACTTTTCTAGAGGCTTGAGCCAAGTACTTGTTATCAATTCACTTGGATCGATATACTGTTAACGTATTACATTTTGCTGTGTATTCTTTTTAGCGTCTTTGGCGGTCAAAAGAAACGTCCGCTAATTCAAGTACAATGCTAAATGTCTTGCACATATACTCATGTATACGGAAATGAATAAATGCGCTAAATCAAATCTACGCTAACCTGTTTAAAAATCAATTTCCGCCAAATATCGTACACGCCAAATATAATACATTTACAGTAGGTAGTTATACAGGTAGTAAAATGTAAAATTGTGACTTTGAAAATAGTTTCACATTTCAAATGCAATATTTTAGAAAATTTATGTTCTTCAGATGTTTTTTTTATAATTTTTATGTACAGTAACAAATTACTCGGTATGACATGCGCGTCAGATATTACCCTCTAGACTCATCTGTAGTGCCCTCTGTAACATTTTATCATCCTTCTCATCCTCGCATCGACTCTCCATTAGAGCCCGCTGTAACTCGGGGTCATCTGTATGGGCGTCTGACTTACTAATGGACTGATTCTCATTAATTAGGCGCGGTTTGAGGAGTTGTACTGCTGGAGCCAAGCTAAGGATATCATCTGCTTCACACTCTGGTAATCGACCAGTCACAATAAATATTGAGTATCCTGTGAAAAAAAAAATGTATTTAATTCTTAAACTAAACAAAATCAAAAACAAATAAGAGCATTAATTTTGTGCTTGATATGACACTAAGTACCGGTATTCAAATCTTGGCTAAATTAAAGATGACTCATGTGCATGTGCTATAAATTGGTGTTTCTTGTACATGTATACTTTACAGCTGAACTTCTGTCTTCAGAATGATTTTTTAGTATTTCTAAAATACTAAATACAGCTTACTCCACTTATATTGAACTCGCTTATTTTGAAATTCCGCTTATTTTGAAATAGAAATAAATCCCCAGTTTTTGCCTCTTATATTCTTTGCATTAAAATAACGGTTATATTGAAATCGGATATATTGAAATTTCGCTTATATTGAAGCCACTGATCGGTCCCCACAGGTGATAATGAGTTGTTTTCATAACGGTTATATTGAAGTACTCCCTGGCGGCTGTCATTACGGTTGGTGGCAATAATTAGGCCTGATTGACCAGGTGATATACAAAAGTGTGATTAATTAAGTTTTCACCTTGTGTGTTTTTATACTGCATGTTCTTATGAAGTAAAATTCATCACTGTTAAATTCTTTGCGTCCATGTATATAATACGGACATCGAGGCTAAACCCCCACAAATCTAGAAAACAAACATAACTTTGAAATTAAATGCGTGCTGTTAATGGCTATTGATATGCCTAAAATCAAAATAACTAAGGGATTAACCGGAGTACACTTACGATGAAATACAAGCAGCTTTCAGCAGTACTACTCAACCGCGTTTTAGTCCGGTGAATTTTCTCCAAAACGCAAATAAATGCGATTGGGGAATAATAATGAGGTTGAAGATTGTCTTTTCAATGTAACAGAAAAAAAATATTTAAACTTTCTAGGACTCATATTCTATGTTATCTGTTCACTGTTATAGATAAACGAGAACAAAGTTAATTTGTTCGGGTTTGTTCTTCTTTATTTTAGATCGGGATTGAACTTGTAAAAATCGCGGCTTCGCGATTTCGCTTATATTGAATTACGGATATATTGAAATAATTTGCATGGTCCCCTGAATTTCAATATATCCGGAGTAGGCTGTATATCATTATTTTAAATATCTCAAATTGTGAAACCCCAAGATGTCTCAGAGTTTTTTTTCTGTCCCATCAAGTTCACAATAAGTAGGTTTGACTGTATATTTACATTCAGAGTCTTGTTAACCTCCAAAAAATTATAAAATTTACAATATTCAAAAAGAATGACACTCCATTTACTTAAATACTGTGTTTCTTTACAGATTTCAAATTCACAGATTTGACATAAATCATAGAAAGAACATGAAAAATGTATCTATAAATAAAGGTGAAATGATCTGAAATTAGAGTTACTTCCCTTTGGATGTCAGAACATGGAAAAATGGGAAATTAATCAATGACAAATAAGTCAGTGATAACATCACTTGCCTTCTTGTTGGAGTTGTGTAAGGAACAGAGACAGATAGGTGTCAGAGATAAGTTCAGGACCCGTTAGCAGAGAATTCAGATTAAACCACTGTTTTCCAATCTTTCTGATGCAAAACCAATGATCACGGAAATTGCAGATATAAGCATTCTGTGCCCTGGAAAAGAAGAATATCATTCAAAAATACTTTTTTGCTATGTATTTAATAAAGCTTTTGATATTGATGAATGAGGCAATTACTGGGTGAATAATTCTCAGTCACTAAAGATTACTTCAGATGTTTGATGAATGCCAGGGAATTCTGTTTTTGAGAGATAGAGAGAAAGAGAAATGGGAGGAGGAGGAAAATTCTAAAAGTTCTCTCTCTAAATGAAAATCTGTATTTTTTTTTTCAAATTTTGAACATTAAATAAATATTTTGACCGCTTATGCCAAAATTTGTAATATTTCCTATATTGAATTTTATTCCCAAAGTTTAGAAAGCGATATGCAACAGAATTGGTTGTGTACATACTATGCATAGTAATAGTATGATACAATGTTTCCTACTAGCTTGGACTAGTGGGTTAACCCTGTAACTCAATTGGTAGAGCACTGGACTGGCATGCCAGAGCTCTCTGGTTCAAACCCAAATAGAGGCACACATGTCTCTGTTACAGATGCTCTAGAACGAGTGTACATGTATAGTGAAAACTATTTCTCAAGCTTTGATTATACTTAGCAATATTAAAATATATTCTTTGCAATATACAGTGTTTTCCCTTTATTTTAAAGTAAAGGTTTAAAGATCGATTCTTACAGGCTAAGGGTTGAGGTTGATGTTAATGAACAGAACTATGTTAACCTTATAACAAATTTTGATTTCTAGGCGGCATTTTTATCAGTCGAAGCGGTCAATTTGGCCGTCAGCCGGTTCTTAGGGAAAACACTGAATATGCTCAGTTACTCACACTGGATTCTGTCGAGCTTCTTTTGCAATAGTATCCTGAGAATTAAACTGAACTACATTTAGCCCCCATACTTGTAATGCTTTCACTATGACTTGTATGGAGAAAAATCCACTGTCATCAAAGTTGGAGGAAGCTTGCTAATCAACAGAATGGAAAACGACAAACTTTGAAAAGCTCATTCAACTACAACATCAATTTAAAAAAAAAACAAATAAAAAAGCGCCAAAAATTCACATCTTTAACTAAACATTCAGCATCATTAAAATACTGTGTCTATTTTGTCTTTGTATCCAAAATATTTATCTGTAGAAATGAGATGTTGAGCAGACCTGTATAAACCTCTGATACTCTATACTCTGGGTTCCAGCCTCTGCCATTTGTAATCGCTCTGATTCATCAAGTTGGCGTGCAATATCTGCTAAGTCAACGGCACTAAAATACTGTCCTTGTAGCAATGCATTTAAACAATGCTGAGCACATAATGATCCCTCCTGCTGTAAAATCAGAGAAATTGAAGAAGTTTGATCAATGTCTCAAAGTAAGAGAAGAAGCATGAAAAAAAAAAGTCAGGTGTCCCACTGCACTGAGTGGACTAAGGACGCTGATATTGTGAGGGATCAAAGAATGCAATATGGTTTAAAAATCAGATTGATTTCTCTATGGTAACTATACAAGATCAACACTTTTGCTGATTTTTTCTTTTTTTTTTTCTTCTAGATTTGGATCAATGCAAATTTGAAAATTAGCCATTCTTGTAAACTTTTGCAATTTCAATTTAATTTCAATTTTAGAATATAATTTTGGAATATTTCTTTTTCATAGGTACAATGTTTCTTGAAGATTTATCTTTAGATTGAAAAAAATATCTACACAATATATGATACAGAGCCAGATACTAAAATACACTCTTTCATGATAGTATCTAAAATCTTGACAGACTTATTGATATTTGCCACAATTAGTACGACAGTAAGGGTAATTTTTTTTATTTATTATTATAAAACGAACTTTAAAAGCTATACACTAGGAGCAGAGACACAAATAACAGAGATTCGCAACTCCACCATTAGCATGTTTGTTTACTGAAATATGTGATGGTCCTGGTACTATCCTAAGAATAACTCTATTTTTGTCTTGTACTTCATTCTAAACTCTAAAGTAAATTTAATATTAATTTTACAATGTTTGAGTGTATGATTTGTAAAGTTTTAATGATTTTTAAAAGCGAACTAGGCACATAAAAGAGGTTAATGATTGACAGTCAGCAAAATAGTGGCAATATGGTTGACAAAGAGTCACCTGTTATAATTTTGGATTTCTCTTTTGTTCTTGTATAACGTACACAAACTTACAGAAAAATAATATCATAAATAATTCATTGATATAAATTTTAAAAAAAATTACTAAGTAATCCCTGATAATTTTAAAGTTTTATGTGATTTAAGTTGCATGAGATTTGAAAAATTAACAATAGGGAAGGCGAGATCGCGCAAGACTCTGAACAGTTGCAAATCTCTTTTATTTATGTCTCTGCTAGGAGGTACTAAAAATGTGCTATTCATAAATAGTAAAAGTGGCATTTGATTCTGTTTGCAAACATTGAAAATCGACCCAAGATTTTTGCCCGTTTTGAATTCTGGACTTAGTTGGCATTTTACTGCTGAAGTAATATTTCAAAAGAAATATTTTACATATTCATTCGATAAACTTTTGGTGAGGCTATCACTTGCCACCTCTCAAGGTTCCTTTCCGACGACAGTCATCTGGGTCTAATATTACGTATTTGAGTTTTATTCCTTTTAACAGGTCCAGCACAATACCCTGATAAAGATATATAGCTTGATAAAGCTATATACTTTATCAAGGTATTACAAATACCTTAATCAAGGTATTTTATTTAATTAAATTTTTTTAAAAATCTTAAAAAATTAAATACTGAAAGTTGAGTTCTGAGTTGTTGTCAGTAAATTCATTGCCCATGCATGTAAAGTACTCAAACACAAAGAAATCAGTATAAAAGCATGTTGTGTGAGGAGACGTTCTTTTATGCTGCCTTTTTGATACCAGAGTGCTTTTCATACACGAGTGGACACACTGACCACAACTCATAATGCAACTTTTAAATATATTTTTTAAAGAATTTTTTTTGTTTTTTTTTTTTACATAAAATATCTTGATCAAGGTATTTGTAATACCTTGACAAAGCTATATAGCTTTATCAAGCTATATACCTTTATCAGGGTATTGTGCTGGACCTGTTTAATGCACTTTACTTAATCAGGTCCAGTACAATCTCTTGATTTAGCTATATAGCTTTAAATAGCTATATAGCTTTATTAAGCTATCCAGAATTGCTTCATTTAGCTATTTATAGACTTTTTTTCACAAAAATGTTTTTGCTAGAAATAAACAAAAAGTCGCATGCATTTGACCCTTCATATATGTAGTATGGGCTATCAAAACAACAACCAAAATCAAAGATAGTTCTAACATTGCAGCTTTTGAATGCTTTTAAGCAAAAAGAGAATTTCTATTGTTAGAGTAACTGTCCATTACCCTGAGTGCCTTGAGGCACGATTGCTTCTCATTGTACTGAACTGTTACTAATCAATTATCTTGTTGGCCATAATTGGTCTCCTTTATAATATCATTGCAGAAGTAACTGTATCAATTGCTTTATATAGCCCCAAAACTTGTGGAACTTTGAGTGCAAAGTCTCACAAGGAGACGTAATTGATGAGTGATTTTTACATGCATTATTTTAAGAAGAGTTCAAGATTGTATATCATCACTGCACTAAGGTGCGCTTTTTTGTACATACTGAGAAAATTACACCTTTAAGATAAAAGTGTAGTAAAATAGCTTAATAAAGCTATATAGCTATTTAAAGCTATATAGCTAAATCAAGAGATTGTACTGAACCTGTTAATACCTCAAAGAAAACAAACAGAAGTTTTTAATCCAATGATGTAATTGAAGAGTTAGGTCTACTCTTTAGTCTAAGTAAGTCACTTTTATTTACATCGTTTTTAACAAAAGCTGTACAAAATGATAAGCTCTTTAGAGAAGTAAACAGGTTTTCTACCCACTTCTTCAAAGAGAATACAAAATTATGGGGTGCATAGTCATAACGACGACTGACTAAGTTCCCTTTGCCAGGTTCAAACCGTCATAAATTCTTATAGCTTAACTACTGAACTTGTAGTCTATGATAACGTAAAGAATAGACGTCAAAATAACTCACTTCTTCGTGAAATATTGCGTCCATAGCCTTTTTTCAAGACAATCAAGTTTTTCTGATCATATTGTTTACGAATTATGGGAACCTCGATCCCGATTGAATTACCGAATAGACCTTCAGCTGTATCTTGCAGTTCACTGACTTTAGATACTAAAATAGGGATTGCTGATATTTTTTTATCGAATGTAAAAGTGTTTATTTCACCAAACGTCGAGGAAAAACTAAATATATAAAATAAATAGACTCTTTAGCTTCTGGTGATTTTTAATAAAATCTGTTTTATGCCTAAAGTTATCTTCCAGTTTCAAATTGCAATTTCCATCTCTGAGTTGTCGATCGTTACTCTCTCAGACAGTGAATGTATGAGCCGATGGTAGGCTAGTGAATGGTTAATTTGACAGTTCCCGTGCTCTCGGTTTTTTTTTTTTTTTTAAAAATAACGTGAATGTTCTTCGGGGGTAGAAGTGTATCTTTGTTGGTTGCATTGCTCTATAGATGAAAAGGAGGTAAAACTCCAAAAACACGCTGCTAATTACAAGCTCTGCAGTTAATTATTAATCCGATATCGAAATTATATAGTGCTGTGAAATCTTACATATCAAATTACATCCAATATCATCTTGATTAAAGAATACATTTATACATTAAAATTTGACTAAACTTGGAAACAGGGACAATTTACAATTTTATCGTTACATGTATAATTTAATGTAATTTCTCTATTCTTAAATCTTCAAAGAGGGCATGCATAATAAAAATGTATATAACTACAATTTGATGTTCCTGTACGGGGTTGGGCTGATTTTGCTTATAAATGTATAATTAAATTACCTCATTTGTCAAGAGCATGCGCTACCTACGAATACTTTCTAAAACGAGGCTAGATATTGACAAACATGTTGATGACACAAGAATATGAACACTTTCGTTAATTTTGAGTAATATTTAGTAAGTTCTATAAAAAGTCGAGAACTCTTTTTCATATCCACACACTGAATTTGTTACTGAGTTTCTGTTTGCACAATGATGACAAGGAGCTCATAGTTTGTGTGACCTGTCGGCAGGGGATGCTTACTCCTCCATGGCACTTGATCTGCTGGTGTTTTTTTTTCAGGTCCGTGATTGATCTTATTCCAATTTTATTTCATTTGTTTTTTGAATTCTTCCTTACCTCCATATTTCATGGCTACCCTTAAGAAAGTTATAATTTTGATATGGAGAACAACAAAATGAGTTCTATCGATACATTTAAAATAGGAGATGTGTAATGTCATATAATAACTGCATTCAGTGGTGTCTAAGAAGTTATAAGGATTGGTTATAGAATATTTTGAATACATTTTCACGTGTATATAACTTGGACAAAAATTAATTGTTCTCAGTTTTATTTGCCTTACCTCAAACCTTTAATGGAAGAGCGCAGACAAGGAAGAACATTTTTTCTCTTGGAGACAGCATAAACACAAAGAGGTGCTGGTAATTTAATATAATCTCAAAACATATTTGCATTCAAATTTTGTAAATTTTGCATTTACTAGGAGGAGTGAAACATAAGCAGGTAACGAACAGTATTCAAGATCAAAAGTCCATAAAACAATACAAAATAGGAGGAGAGCAAACACGGACCTCCAAAACATCAGAGGTGGGATCAGGTGCCAGGGAGGAGTGAGCATCCCCTGCCGACCGGTTACATCCGCCGTGTGCTCCTTGTCATTATCGGGAAATGACGGGAAAATCCGTCGTCAATTCGGAGTAACAATTAGTATGAAAAACGTCAGATGAAGCACTTGACTCAGTGATAAATTGTATTTGCTGACAAGGTCATTGTATCGACCGTAGAACTTAAGGTCAAGATCTAGTAAATGAAAGGTGCCTACAGATTTATAAAACTTGAGAAATAAATTCCTTTATTGATGCTTTACAACTTTAGCTTGGTCAAATAAGGTGTTTCGGGGCAGAATTTGTAGGTAAACAAGATCAAAAACTGTTTTCAAACTGTCATTTTCAATGAAAAATTAAGAAAACCAGTCATGAATATGGGAGTTTTTTTCGTATTCGGCAAAGGAAATGTATCCAGATTGCCTACAGTCTCTCAGAAAACGGTAATTAGTATGTTCATAGCCTCTTCTTTAAATCAATATCAAATTTACTATAGGTATCCGGTTTACTTTTCATATGATTTCAAAATGAATGACATGAAAATACCCTATATTTTCTACATAATTCTGCTAAAGCCGTAAAGTACGGGAAAAAGAAAGTTGAAATTGATTATGACGTAATAATGGATCTAGCACCAAAAATTAGTCTCATGTTATTTACTAGATCTTGACCTTAAGAAATGGAGACTTTAAACGAGACTGTTTATATTCTGTTTCATTAATTTGTTTGTCAATAATTTGCTTTGTATTAGAAATTGTTCATACAAAGAACATGCTCTTGCGTATCCAATCAACTGAGATACATAAATTCCGTAAGCAGTTGATGGAGGTATATATTGCTGAATAAGTAAGGTAAGTTGGCGATAGAAAAGTTAAAGTCATCACGTTTATCATATAGCTTGGTTGTTAGATTACCATTAACAGTTCTTTCAAGTAAAATATCGAAATATGAAATAGATGTGTCAGACTCTGTGGTATCTTTTATTTCAAGCTCACCAGGATACATCGTATCGACATAAGAATGGAATATCCATTGATAGTAGTATAAGGGGTCTGGATGGGGGGTTCAACTGAGTGCACTTTTGGGGCTGGGGTGGATAGGGGGTTCAACTGAGTGCAGGTTTGGGCCTGTGGGGGATAGGGGGTTCAACTGAGTGCAGCCCCTGGGGGGATAGGTGGGTCAACTGAGTGCAGCTCCTGGGGTGGATAGGTGGGTCAACTGAGTGCAGCCCCTGGGGGATAGCCAGGTCAATTCATTACATATAATCCCCCTAAATACGGGGTGTGTTTACACTGTGTTTACATTATACTATATACGCTGCTACTACGATTTTGGCAGCGACTTTTATACCTGTTGCATCATCTGTAAGGGCCCTGTGCAAAAAATACGATAGACCTACGTTTTTTTTATGCTGACTACACGAGGTATAATATGAATACATTTTTATATCTCGTAACCAGCCTCTATAACCAGGCAGAGCGCATGCGCGCAACAAATTTACATCGAGATCGGAAAACAGGAGAGAGGAAATTCGGAATATATAATGAAAACTAGTAGTGCTATTCTCAGATGCAGAAATTTATGCATAATTCAATAAAATTTTATTTAAAAAGCCGAAGAATTAATAAGTCGACATTGCAATTAGTTTTTATTTGTTTATTTAATCTTTTATTTATTTATTTATTTATTTATCTACTTCTTTATTTATTTATTTATCTATCTATATATTTATCTATTTATTTATTCATTCATTTATTTATTTATTTCTTTATTTATTTATTTATTTTTTTAATTGTAATAATTCTTGATAAACTTAGTAACTTATTTATTCATTAGGAAATTAATTTGTCTGCTTATTTATGAATACATTCTTTTCTTCATTAATTAATTATTCTAATGAGTAATCAATTCTTCTATTTATTTATTAATTAATTATTCTTTTATTTAATTAATAAATTTATTGATCAATTTATTATTCATGTTTTAATTCATTAAAATTTTAATTTGTTTGTTTATTTGTTTACTTACTTTATATTTTGCTTGATTGTTTATTTATTTATTGGTTTCTTTCTTTATTTATTGGTTCATTTATTGTTTCTTATACATGTAATTAAGTAAATGTTTGATTTACTAATAAATAATTTATTTATTTATTTATCATATTTATTCCTTTTTATTATCATTCTTTTAAAATTAAGTTATTAATTTATTATTTTAATTATCTTCTTTTTTTATTTAATTTATTTTTTTTTTTAATTTCTCTCTGTTATAGACAGGTTCTGTTTTTGTATTGCTAGGGTTTATGTTCCCATAACCAGGGTTTGTATACCC